AATACTTAATGTAATAGTGAAAGCATTTTCTTTCTTTTATTTATTTATTTTTTTTTTTTGAGGCTGGAGTGGAAAGGAAGGCAGACCTCGGCTCACTGCATCCTCTGCCTCCCATTTCAAGCGATTCTCCTGCCTCAGAAGAGTAGCTGGGTTTACAGGCATGTACCGCCATGCCTGGCTAATTTTGTATTTTTAGTAGAGACGGGGTTTCTCCATGTTGGTCAGGCTGGTCTCGAACTCCTGACCTCAGGAGATCCACCTTCCTCAGCCTCCCAAAGTGCTGGGATTACAAGTGTGAGCCACCACATTTGGCCAGTGGAAGCACCTTCTAATTTTTGGAGAGATGGAAGCTAAGAGGATGGCCAGAATCACTGTTACAGTGCAGAACCATCAGCTTTTTAGACAAGAAGTGATTGCATCAATAGCAGAGTTAAGAAAATATTTGCCATCTCTTCTTATGAAGATGACTTTTAGAAGCCAGTCATGTAGCTGTGGCCGCCTGACTCCAAATCATTCAGAAAGGTGATTACAACATTCAGCAATTTGTAATCACTTAATTTTCTGAATTAAATGCCTCTCTGTTTGAATACATACTATGAGTTCTATTTTCTTTAGAACATCCTAACTTAAAGGAAATTAGAAGCCAGGTATGAGAAAAGCTGATTTATCTGTATAAAAGATTATTTGAATGTGAAACCTAAAGAACATTTGGAAACTAAGATATCACTTGACTAGCTTGGATACATTAGTGTCCTACGAAGTGTATATTAGGTACAAGACTACAGAGAAAATTTGCAGATAAAGTAAAATTTTTGCGATTCTTTTCTAATCATAAAGGAGATCTGCTGCTTGCTATAGGAAAACATACAAGAGTATTTTTCTTTTAATTCCTACCAATTTTTCAGTGAATTTGTTTCCTCATAACTGCTTCAAATTTTGTTTAAGTTTAACCATTACTTTGTCTTACTTTTAAATAGTATACTTTTACTGTTAGGTATTGCTTTTAGATGTCTTGTATTTTCTGTTTTAAAATATTTTATGGCACAGTTAGTAAAAAGCTGATAGCTTTAAGATGGACAGAAGAAAAGAAGAACCAACATTTTATTTCTTAAATTTTTAAAATAAATAGATTAGGTTAGAACTCTATTACTCAGGAATAAATGCTTTGCTTAAAGTCCCTCAACTTGTAGACTATAGGGCTAGGACTTATTTGCCTTTACTGTCCATGGTCTTTTCACACATATGCCCATGGCAACAGTATTTATTGTTAAAGAAGTGATCATCTTTCGAAGCCAAATTATCTTGGAACTCAGAACATTTTAATTTTTTCACTGTTTTCTAAATAAATGAGAATTAATTATATTTTTATTGCTATATCTTCTGCTTCACTTACAGATTTTCTGTTCCTTCTTTCTTTCCCTAAATAGAGTTTCAGAGCACTATGACCAGGAGTTATCCCAAGGCAAGTCTTATGGAAAGGAAACAATCTGTATCAAGCTGGGATATACACTGCAGAAATAGAATTTAACAGGAATTCAGAGAAATAATAATCTGCCTAAGAGAAAATAAGGGAATTTGGTAATGGTATATTGTCATTGTGATTATTATTGGTAAATCTGATCAGGTCTGTCTCTGCAGTTAAAAGGAAAGACAAAAAAGATGGACATGACCATATAACTTGGAACTACAATTGAAAGATCCATGTATTGCCTTACCCTTCCAATTCTTCTGTGATGACCACTGAGTGTCACCTTTATCCCCTTAGGAACAAGGATTTTATAAAACCACTTAAAAGCTATTCAAGCCACAAATAAAACAATAAAGATAAATCATGCTTTATTGAATTTGACTTGAGCTCCTAGAAAGCAAATATTCATACGTTTTTATGTATATGTGTTTTTCAAAATCAACTTAAGATATAATTAACATACAATACACTGCACGTATTTAAACTTCCAACTTCCTGTGTTTTGACGTATCTATACACTAAAACATGGTGATCACAATCAGGAGAACGATCATATTCATTATCCTCAGAAGTTCTCATTCTGTCTTTCGAAATTCCGCTCTATACACAATAACTGATCCAGTTCCCGTTACTATAGATGAGTGTGAAAATGGTGAAGTTATCTATATATGAAATTATACAGTAAATACTCTTGTTTAGTTTCTGTCACAGAGCATATTTGTTTTGATATATGATATTAACGCCCAACCTGTTAAAAACTAATAAATTAGCAGCACAATTACAATGTTCTGTTTTGCAAAGTCATGGTTAGGAGAAAGAAAAGACTAGCCACAGACTGGGAGAAAGTATTTACAAATCATGACTCTAACAAAAGATTTGTATCCAAATATGTATTTTAAAACTCTCAAAATTCAATAATAATAAGACAATCTGATTTTTAAAAAGGGCAAAATACTTGAACAGAACAATAACCAAAAAAAAAAAAAAGAATGAATGTGCAACATCATAAATTACTAGGGAAACACAAATTACAACCTCAATGATACATCCTGGCACATTTATTAGAATGACTAGTGTTAAAGGCTGAATCTACCAAATGTTAGTAAGAATGTGAAAAAACTGGAATTCTCATATGATCCTGATAAGAGTATATGGTGTATCACCATTTTGCAAATCAATTTTTCAGTTTATTTAAAAAGGTTAAATAGTTATCTACCATGTAATCCAGCTCTTTCATTCCTCAGTATTTACCCAGGTGAAATAAAAGCTTATGCTTATATAAAAGTTTGTGCACATATGTTCATACAAGATTTATTTATGACTGAAAATGACTCAAGTTTTTCTTAACTGCTGAATAAATAAATAATATGGTATATTCATACAATGGAATACTATCCAGCAATAAGCATAATGAACTATTGCAAGGCAACAATATTGACAGATCTTTTTATAGTAAACAATATAATTATTTGGTGAAAACACAAAGCACATGTAAGTCCAAATGAGGCAGAAATAGTTTATTAAAACTTTCCTATTTGGCACTTCAAAAATGTCAATCCTAACAGAATTCCAATGTGTATATGAATATAAATATGTTTCTGTGTTAAAAAAAAACCACACAAATCTAAAGCTAAAAATTTCTAGTTAGTACATTATTATTTGTCCTGAAATAATGTATTAAGGTGTTACAATCCAATCTCCAAAAACAGCCATGTAAATTGATGTCTTGTATTCGTCCCTGTCTCTCATCTAATATTCTGTTTAATTGTTAAACAAAAGGAAAATAGCTGAACCTTAATTTGTTACTCTCCAGTAAGAGATATAGTAGCTAGGAAATGTCCCTTAGATTACCCATTTTACATCTCCATACGTAACCATTTATACTGAAACCAGCACATAAATAGTACTTGAATAATTAGGATTATTTAATTTTGTAGTGATGTTTTGTGATTGGAGATGGTGGTGATATTTAGTTGATAACAGTAAGGATAATATTAGCCAGAGACCCAACTCAGCTGAATTAAATAAGAAGAGAATACATTGGCATACATACTTGGCAAACCTATATGTACAGCTGATTTGAGACATGACTGGAGTCAAGTGTTCTAGCAAGCACTGCCTCCCTGTTGTGCTTTCTTTGTACAACAGACACTCTAGAGTTTATTCCCCGCCCAAAAAAATAAATAAATAAAGACTGCCAGACACCTCAGCTTCACAACTGCAGAGGGAAGAAAACTACTCCTGGCTAATAGAGCTAGGAGGTGTCTAATAGCTCTGATTGGCCCACACCTAAATTAATAATTTTGATCACAGTGGCATAGTAAGCAGCTCATTGAAGAAACCTGGTTAACCCGACATACATGAAGCCATGAAAGGGACACATTCCCTGTTGAATCAAAGGAAAATCAAGATCCTGTTACAAAGAAAAAAGGTAATGGATGATGGGCAATGAAAACAATTTCCTACTAACAAAACAATTAGATTCTCTCAAGGGAAATTGCCATTCTCTATCTTGTAATTCTATCAGGAATAGTGAAGCAGTGGTGTTACCAGGAGGGTTACTAGCCATTTGACTGGTAAACTATGGTAGATTGCTGTTATTGGAATATTGATTGTAGTATAGATTAATGTCTAATCCTCAGAAGTTCTTAGATTTTACCAGAAAGTTTGATTTATGTTTATCTAATTGAATGTTTGTGTGTACGTTTGAGGTGAGAGTTGATGAAGAAAAAATAAAAAAGCAAATGTAGGTATCTGAGGGGAAATTTCCATGGAATATTGCTTTTACTGGCTTTATTTGTATTAAAAAAAGTGTTTGTTGTTCTACTGCCTATCTGTAGGTCTTAATCTAAACCAACATGGTAAAAAAAATTAAAAAAAAAAATTAGCTGGGCATGATGGCGGGTGCATACAGTCGAGCTACTCTGGAGGCTAAGCCAGAAGAATCACTTGAACCCGGCAGGGGGAGGTTGCAGTGAGCCAAGCTCGTGCCACTGCACTCCAGCCTGAGAGATAGAGCCACTCTTTGTCTCAGAAACAATAAAAACATAAAATAAAATGAATAAGCCATCAATATATTTTCTTTAAAATATCATATGAATTGCACTGGTTCCAAAAACCCAGCTGGAAAGAAATTTTGATTTGTTTGACTTATTTTCTTAAATATGCATGTAATAATTAGTTCCCCATTCTGCAGAGTAGAAATGAGGAAGAAGTAAATGGAGAAAGCAAAGTCATCCCTTCTGATATATGTCATACCAGAGGAAAAGAAATAGGAAAGGGGTTTGCTTCTGACATGCACAATGAAAGATGGGTAACTAAGGCAAATAAATATATTTCTGTTTTTTTTTTTTTTTTGTAGACAATTCTCCTTCTCCTTCTCTTTTTCCTTCTTTCTTCTCTTTTGTTTTTGACTGTTCCTTCTGGAGTAGGACTAACCCATAGGCCAGAGCATGCCCAGAGCAGCCTGAAGAAGATTCTTAGCAGAACTGTTGGTTTTACAGTTTCTTAAAGCTGGTCCTCTAGTTGATTATAGCAGAAAAAAAAGGGCATTTTTTATGTGAGAGTAAAACAGAGATTTTGATATAAATTTGTGATATGAAAAAGCATCTTTTCAAAAAGCCGACTAGCTTTACTAGGCAGCTGTAAAACTCCTAAAATGCCTACCGGTCAAAGTCCTTTTTGAGAAAAATGGCTGCTTGGCCTCCACGAATAGGTCTCTATTCTTCAAACTGTGTGGTCCATTCCCTTATGATCTGGTTGGTAAAAGCATGGTGATTGTGTGTATGAAACCACTCCAGCCACTTTTTTCAGGAAGGGGAAGTCATGGTAGATGCTTTAAATCATCTGGTCAGTTGATCTAAGCCAGAACATAATGAGCTAATCAAGATTTAAAGATTAGCACGAATTTCACTGCAACATGATTGTAGGTTGTTTTTGCCTTTCGTTGCTACATAACAAAGACAGCAAAGGCTCCATTAGATAAGGATATTAATGGGTGTAGCTGCAGTTCCTCCATATCTTAGTTTCTGACAGAGGTGCATTGGGCTTGAGAGCATGGGTGGTAGAAGGCTTGAGCTATAACCCGTAGCCTTTTATGACTGTGGGATTTCGGTGGGCTGCATCAACACTCAAGACTTGAAATATCCTGTGAGCAGATTCTGCGCTGAGCCACAAAGTGCCTCTGTATTCTACTTCTTTGCCCTGGCTTATATTGAATCCTTCATTGCAACTATGGGAAAACCACAGAAGGCCGTGCCCTGCTGTAACAATCTAGTAGGATTAGGAGCTCCTGTGACCGGTGGATTTTCGTTGCATGCTGAATAGTGATTAGGTTTCACGGGATCTGGAATTGTGGAAGCTGAAATGATTTTATTGTGCTTCTCTCTCAATTGCTGCCTGTTATAATCTTGCCTGTATTCTAACCTGTATTCTTTGTTAAGTAAGGTTCGCCTTTTCCCCGCCCAAACAAATAATTGAAAAATAGGATTATTACGGAGCTTGTTTTTACTGAATGAAATACAGTAAATCAGTTTTGTATAGACATTTTGCATGCATCTCTCTTTCAAGCTGAAACATCATGGAGTTTCCTTGTGAAGTCATTGATCTGGAGATTCATTTTTCATATAGCCCTTGTGCTTTCAGTAAGAGAACAGTACCAATACAATCTTCTACCTATTAGCCCACGGGAAGCCTGATTTTGGAAAAGACTAGAAGAAAATCAAATACAGTAGTAAAATTCACATTTATTAGGAGTTTTACATAGTTCCTGGCCAAGCTAAACAAGACTTATTTGTACCTTTAGTCATTTCAAAACACTATATGAATTTCTATTTCTCTATTTTTTTTTCTTAGACATAGACCTCACTTCCCTGGAAAAATGTAAAGTACAAATGTACACGTCTGGTCCTATATATTTCTATCCCTATATGCATCCAGTCTCTTTCTCATCTTGGGTTACCAAATGTGGCATGCTCTCATTTACAAGTGTGAGGTAAATATTAGGTACTCCTGGACCTAAAGATGGCAACAATAGACACTGAGAACTATTAGAAGTGGGAGGCAGGGAGGGAGGAGAACAAAGTTTGAAAAATCAACTATTAGATACCATGCTCAGTATCTGAGTGACAAGATCAACTATACTCCAAACCTTAGCATCATGCAACAAACCCAGGTAACAAACCTGCACATGTACATCCTGAATGTAACATAAATGTTGAAAGAAAAAAACAGACATTAAAGAGATTTGCAATAAAAAATATATGTAAATATATTGGCTTAAATCTTCTTACTTACAGGAGTTTCACATAATTTCTTTCTCAAGTTTAAAACCTATTTTCTTTATAATGTAAATCATTTGATGGTTACTCAATTTTTTGAAGTTAGAAGGTAGAAAAAATAGATAGGAGTAGGTGGAAACCTCAGGTCCCTCTCAATTGATATATAGTAATTTCTCAAGGAGAGTGGTTACTGACGTCAGGAATGGGCACAGTTCTGGAGTCCAAAAAGATGGACTTTGAGATCTAGAAACATTGTCTTTATGAATACTTCATCACAATCACACTTGCTAAAATGTTAATTCTGTCTAATACAGGTCTGCCCATAGCAAGGCTATAGCTCAGTTATGTTTTTTTATTATAAACAGTGAGTTTCCTGAATGAGTTACATTTGTTCATTCATTTGTTCCCAACATAGTAGTAATATTTTTCTAATTTCTTATTCTCAGTAAGAGGGGTATTTTTAAGTTTGAAAATTATACACAAAAGATTTTTAATTGATTGAACACAAAATTAAAAAAGAAAGACACACATACATGCATATAAATAATTAAATAATATAATTATTCAGCTTGAAGGAAAATATTAAAATAGAGAAATAGAAATTCATGTAGTGTTTTGAAATGACTAAAGGTACAAATATGTCTTGTCTAGCTTGGCCAGAAACTACGTAAAAATCTTAATTGGCAGATTGGCTATTACTCTACTTTTGCTCAAGCATGAGAACATTTCCCACAAGAAATTGACATATTTACTTAAAGTTATCCTAAACATTCTATATCAAATAGTTTAGGCATTATCAAAAATGGTTGTCACTGGAAATATAAGAGGCCTGTTCATGATTCTGTGTTGCCTTATTGTCTGAATTTGTGACTCTCCACACTGACACCAAATTGCTCTCCTGTCAACATGTAAAAGGATGGATCATTTTATCTCCTGAGTGATGAAGTTTCAAATCCACAAAGCACAGGCCGTCAGTCCTTTGAGGTGATTATGATGCCTCAAACCTGACAGCTTGCCCTGACAGCTTTCACATATTCCTGAAATCAAATTGTTCCTGCTTCTATTAGAAGAAGGCAGGTGTGTGAAAACTAGAGGAAGAAGAAGGTAAATACAAAAGAAAATGATCTTCATGTTCAGAGTAATTATAGAAACTTGTTTCCAGGGAAAAGTATAGATATTGATTTTACCTCTCTTCCTGATGTACACAGATGAGACACAAAGAGTCCATATGGGTTCAAGGTTTGCCAGGAAAGAAATATCAGGATAAGCAGATGGCAGTGCTATTGCCATATGGCTGCTCAGGAATGGACCGATGTGATGGCATTTTGCCATAAGACAAAGCTAGAAATATTTTTCTGCTACTATTTTAAACAGCACAAAAAATGAATATGTGTTCTGTTGACATGAAAAATCATTAGAAAATCATGACAGAAATACTCTATTATGTTCAATTCCACAAACTGGCTCTCAGACTTAAAAACAATTTAAAATTGATGAGTTTTTTTTAACAGTTTGAATACAGAATTATATGGATAACGCTGCAGATTATTTTTTAAACCTCAAGAACTTACTTCACTGTAATTAGTCAGAATATTTTTGAAGGCATGTATGTAACTATGGCTTAGAGCCAATGTTGCAATGTTTACAATAATAAATAATCAGATAAATATTACTGTGGAAGTTATACATTCTCATGTTACGCTGATGTTAAGTGAAAATTTCAAGTGAAAAAATGGGTACAGATAGATTTAGAAGCTGAAGAGAAAGGCCCATGGCCCAAGCCAGGTACAAGCTACCACAACGTCAGGAATCAGCTAATCCCTCTAAAGTGCATTTTTTTTTTCACTCTGAAATATGGTGTTATCGAGAAAAGGCATGGCTGTGAAGAACAAAGAGTACATTTGGAGTTCACATAGAACTCGATTCAAATTCATCTCCTCCTGTTACCAGCTTTACCTTGTTTTTTTTTTTTTTGAAAACTAATAAAACTTTAAACTCTATTTCTCCATCTGACGGAGGAGGATAATAATACCTAAATCATAGGGCTGTCGTGAGAAAAGAGATAATTCCAGATGACTCTGGGTAATTAGACTAAATAGACGAGCAAGGGAAATTTGAAGACCGCAAGTTTAGCTCAGCTATATGTATTAGGAGTGATTGAAAGGCAGAGAGTGAGTCATCTACCCCAACGCTGAAAACATCACATCAGGCTGAAAATACTTAGCCTGTTCTAGGTGTAGCATCTTTTAAGTGACTTTCCTGTATAGGGGTCATGTGAAAACTTTCCCTTCACTCTCTGAAAGTTTGCTGAGAAATCAACTGAGAGAAGACACATTAATAGAAGAAATGGCAGATAAATTTATTAATGTGCATGGGGGGAGAACCACAAAGTAATAACTTCAAGGGGGTACAGAAAGTTATATAGCCTTTTTGCAGATCAGAGGGGGAGATGGGAAATACAGGCAATCTTGTGGACAGGCAATCAATGGTTACTGGTGACAGAGTTTAACTGGTAAATAGTTCTCTTTGGAAATTGAATAATCCTAGGGTCTGTTCAGGTGGGGCTGCATTCTTTCATTCTTTTATTACAATTTTTTTTTGTAATAATGTAATAGGGAGAGAAGGAAAAACAATTGTTCTCCTTGGAGGATCCTGCAAGTCCTTCCATAGATGGCAGAAACATCTCTTCCAGCATCTATTGATCCTTAAAAGTCTTTAATTCAAAATACTCATTATGCCATGTAGCAATATTGTGGAGTGAAATAGTTTGCTTACCTTCACCTGGCACAGAGCGCTATCTTTGGCTACAAGTATGCTTTGGAGCCATTCGTCTCACATTGACAATCAGCTTTCCAGCTGTGGCTTCTATGGAGAATTTGGTGTAGCCCAGCTTTCGTAGATCCTCACAAGTTTCCTAATGTTCCATTAAAAAGCGCAGCTCAGATCCCATTTGCCCTAGAGTGCAAGGCATGGCCAGTTCATGCAAGCATTCACAGCCACAGGCTGATGAAACAAAGCCTTTGAGGTCAGAAGCAGAGAATTCTACCCATCCACTGTCCTCCAATGTGACTTCCCTAATCCAGTCTCCCAGTTAGATGATTATTTTATTATTTTCTCCTCCCTTTTAATGATTCTGAAAATTTAACTGGAAAACGTTCTTTGTATATCCAAAAACTATTCAACAATAACAATACATTTGATCATTGTGTTCTTTTTTCCCATATGTTTCTCCTTAAATCTTTTAATTAGTCCTTTGAGGTTGGTGGTATTAAACCATCTCCCCCTAAACATATGAGCCAAGACACATGATACACAGATAAATGTTTTAAATAGTTGTAAGACAAAATCAGTAACAAATAATTAGCAATAAAACTGGGAAGAATAACAGGGCGTGTGATGAAACTATACGTGTCTTTTCATAATACTGATAGGGCTGATATTAACTTGCTTACTTTTATAGATGTTTGCATTAAATAAGTAGGTATGGCTGGACGTAGTGTCTCACGCCTGTAATCCCAGCACTTTGGGAGGCCAAGGCAGATGGATGACTTGAGATTAGGAGTTCGAGACCAGCCTGGCTGACATGGTGAAACTCTGTTTCTACTAAAAATACAAAAAGTAGCCAAGTGTGGTGGCTCACACCTATAATCCCAGCTACTCAGGAGGCTGAGGCAGGAGAATAGTTTGAAACTGGGAGGTGGAGGTTGCATTGAGCTGAGATTGTGCCACTGCACTCTAGCCTGGGCAACGGAGTGAGATTCTGTCTCATTAAAAAAAAAAAAAAAAGAGTAGGTATAGAAATTTTTTAAAAAATTTATTCAGATTTTCTTCACAGATTACAGATACACAATTACACAAACCATACTGAAGTTTAATCTTCTCTCCCTTTAACATTTTTTCCAAGTACCTGATAATACAGAGACCATGTTTTATTTAATGAGCATTGCATGTGGAAGTAAAGAAACTTCACACAGAAAAGATAGCTCTGAATTGTGTTAACAAAAGAAGACCATGAGATCTACAGAGGCAAAAAAGAAAGCTTTATTTTCTGAAAAGATACAATCTGTGGGTTGGGGAGCCACAGTCTTCTGAGTAAAACAAAAATGTGCTCCAAGCAGAGGTGGGAGAGTTACAGATAAGACAGTGAAAACACAGATGATACACAGAAGAGGGGAGGTGCGGTCAGGGGAATGAGGAAGAGTCTTGGTCGGATGGTTCCAAAGCACCAGTCTCTCTTAATTAGCTCTTTCCAAGTATTGGTCAGTTGATGCCCTGTGGTCTATTGGTGGTCAGTTGGGAAATTTCCAGCTGCAGTTATTTTTGACATTGTTTTCAGGAACTGTCCTTTGACTTGGTTGCAGAGTGTGTGACAGCTCCCTCATTTTGCCAAGGCCTCTTGGTTCTACTTTTTAATTTGAGCTACATGGAGTCCACCTTGTTTGTCAACTGGAGGCATAATTTGACAGGGGTCAGGAAAATCGAGAGCAACTCCTCACAGAAAAATTAATGGATACATTGAATGAAGGATTGAATGAATGAATGAATGAGATGAAACCTGGAAGCAATTAACCAACCAACATTTTAAAAAATTGGGACCTATAATGCATGAGAAATTATGATAGGTGCTGAAGAATGCATGAGCTTGTAATATGCTTTCCAAGACCTGAAGAATACAATTAAAAAAGAAAAAACAAAACGATTTTGAGGCTGCAGTGAGCACTGATCACTGCAGCCTCAAAATCCTTGGCCAGGGCAGGAGGATTCTCTGAGCCAAGGGTTTTGAGGTTGCAGTGAGCACTGATCACACCACTGCACTCCAGCCTGGGCAATAGGGCGAGACCCCAACTATACAACAAAGCAAAAAAGAAGGAAAAGAAAATAAGAAGAGCAGCACTGTAGCAGAGGTTTGTAATTTGTTGCACTAAATTAAAAATTGATAGCACTTTGGTGAGTTGAAGAATATCCTGAAGTAGGAATCTGAAGACCAGAGTAAGCCACACATCAGATGAATGACCTGAGACTCAACCACTCCCAGGCTTTATTAGTGAAATAGGACTAACAGTGACTACCCTGCCTCCAGCATAGGCCTTTATATGCATATTAAATAAAATATTCTACACCAAATTTCTTTCAAAATTTCAAAATTTGGAATTTATTTAGATATACCAATGGTTTTTAGTCAGCTCCTTAGTGACTCATGGGGAAGATGAGAAACCAAAAAGAGTTAATTGATGTTGTCATTTTCAAAGCAGAGAAAAAAATAGAAATTCTTTGGGACCCAAAAAGCAGTTTATAGGAGTATCGCCCTAGGATAAATATATTGATGTAGGCTGCTAGGAGAATCGGCTCGAAGTTTGATCCCAGGTCAGACTAGCAAGAAAGATAGCAACATTTTGTAGTTTGAGAAACGTATATGCATTTTAAGTATAAAGGGAACTGAAATGCATGCGAGTACACTTTGGTAGAAGGACACTGCCTGGCATTTGGGGAATTATATATTCTCATTAAGTTGTTCTATAAAAGTAACACATTAAATTTGGGATTTAATGGAAGGATAATGTTGAAATGATACTACAGTGGTTGCTGTCATAGTGAATTACGAAAGTGAAAGTCTCTTTATTGCTCAGGTAAAAGTCAACCTAGAGCGTGTTGGGGCAGGGGGCTAGTTGGAAGTGGTGGAGGAGGCAACTTCTATCCAATGTCCATTCAGAACCGGAGCTGACAGGGAGCTGCCATCTTCAGCACTTGGTTTCCAAGGTGATTCTGAGTGTTAGCTCCCGTCAGGTGACCAGGAACAAAATAATGGATGCAAGACTGAGGAAGATTAAACCAGTGAACCCACTTACTTATCTTTAGAGGGAACAGAGTAAGAGAGAATCTGGGGGTGAATTTGGGGTGAATTTTGAATGAGAGAAGGAACCAGGCAACAGAAGATTTCAGGCAAAGCAAATGTAATATGCAAAGACTCAAAGCAGTATCTATCTATCTACCTACCTACCTATCTATAAACTGTAATCCAACAGCCTAGAACATAGGGTGCATGAGGAAATGTATTGTATGATGATGCTAGACAGGGGCTAGGATTAGAAAACAAAAAGGGCTGAAATAGTGTGACAATTTAGATGCATACTATATTGATTTATTTAAATATATTTATATCCACATAATGTAAATCAATATGATTACATATATATGTAAATATATTTATAAATACATTCATTGATTTGCTTTTGAGTCTGTTTCTATCAAAATGCCTCTTTCAGAAGAAATTGTCTACCTGGGTTTATGAGAGGCATGCTTTAAAACAAAGGACACCAAGCTTATAAATAACTAAGGGTATATATTATGGGTGTATACTTATCTCTAGAAGTTCTAAGTTCTGAGAGAGAAGATTTTGTGAAATTTTAAGACTATCCCAGAGACTTATGGTTTTATTGGCATTCATAATGGCTCAACCTTCTGTGTGTTGAATAATTAGGCAGTGCCTGCTGACTTAGGTTTCTTCCATTACCATTAATATCCTGCAACCTGAAATTTTCAACAAATGCGATCTCTGGTGATACAGAAAGAGTGATTTTAAAAATGTGACATTTGCCCATAATGTAGAAGAATTTTTCTTTTTCCGAGACCTCATAATATCCTCTTTTAACTATTTATATGCTCTACCCTGCAGCATATCGCTTTGTGAAAACATCATGTACAATATGAAACTCAGTGACTTGGGTGACAAATACTACTCAGAGCTCCAAATATAAGTTCTATTATTTGGCATATGAATGAAATAAAAATAAAACATTACTTATTTATTTACTAGCAAATATAGGACAATTAGATTGTTATTCAAACTAAAACCCAAGTTCTGATAGGAAAATTAAAAAATCATATAAGACTAAAGGTAATGTGGATGGCAATGCTTTCCCTCATACAGATTCTTTAAATTCATGTCTTGTACCTGTTTTCTTTTTCTTTCCCAAAATCAAAGACATGATCTTGAGCCCATAACTGATTTCCTCAAGAAGTGCAATCACACCATTTTCTATCTGTGATCCAGAAACAGCTGAAGATCTGAACATCATTGGTAGGAGACATACTAAAATTTATTTAGGTTTCTGTTTAACTATGTGGTACAAAGTCATCTCACCACTCAAATACTGCCTCACATACTTCCTCCATGTTTTTTAATATGCAGCCTATGTTCTTTGTTGATTATGCAGACCCTTTTCTATCTTCTCAGCTCTTGGTCTCAAACTTGTGTTCACAAACTGGTCAAATTCTCAGGAACAATATGAGAACCTCTGGTTAAGCAGAGTCAGTGATGAAATGACAGCTGGTTTATAATCAATGAAAGTTTTCATCTTCATATCATTCATATCATACCACTCATGCAGATATGTATATACACTTATACACAACACTGGGCAGAAGAAAACTGGGAGGTAACTGTAAAGAATCTCCAAAGCTTTTTGCGATTGGTTTACCATCAGGTAAATCTCCCTGACAATGTAAAATACTCTAAAGGTTTTGATATAACCACTTTTAAATGTTTGGGATCAAATGGATTCCTTTATATTTTTCCAAGCCATCATTAAATCTTTCCCAAAAAAGTGTTCTTCCCTGGAAAGGCAGGAAAGAGAAAAAGATTAATATTCTAATCTTCACCCATGTGTATGAGCATGACTTAAAAATTAATCAAACTATTTAAGATACTAATTATTTTCATGCTTATGATAATAGTATTGTGGTTTTGTTTTCTAAAATATTTCATTAGTAATAGACACTGATATCATTAAGGATAAAATGATATGTTATCTGGTATTATTCTCGAAATAACTCTGGGAAAGGAGAAAACTGGGTAGAGACATGGACGAAGCAAAGTTGGCCATTTGTTGATTATTGTTAAAGCTTATTCATGTGGTTGCTTTGTGCATGGGAATTCATTGTT